CGCTATGCGCTGACGAAACGTAATCTGTCACTTGTGTCAATTGTCATTTTCTTTTCATTCTGGCCACGAGCACGGAACGTAAACTAGCGTAACCTCAAGGTCCACGGTGATAGATCACGGAACGCCAGAACCACTTTCCATAGCAGGGTTGCCAACTCACGCTGGATCAGTTGTACCAACCCTAGTTTATGGGTTTTGATCTCAGTTGTACCAACCCTAGATTTTGAATTTTAATCTCAGTTATACCAACCCTAGATTTCAGATTTAGGTCTCTGTTTGTACCAACTTTAGATTAACCCTCAGATTGTACCACAGAACTTAATAAAGTTTCATTAAATAAAACTCCCGGTCGACTTATTTACTTTATCCACGACCTTCTTGACTGAAAAACAAGCTAGCGATCCGCCTAGGACGGAAGACCCACCGGTGGCTAGGAACTAATAAGGTAACAGGTTGCTCTCTACGGAGGAAAGGAAGGCGACAAACTCCACGCGCTCCGGTACAAGCTCTTTGTCCGTTCAGCTGCCAACGCGAAGGTGAACCTGGCTCGTCTACCCCCAACCGAAGAAGCAGCGATATTTGTACCGCACATACCACCAGGTGCAAACGTGGTTGGGGGTGGAAAAGGAGTCAACTGCATGGGGATGGACGAAAAGCGAGCAGGGCTTGTTTCCAATCCTAAATACTGCTCAACCAGCTTCACTCACGCTCCTCAAACTGATTTCCTGTAAGTACAAGAAAGGCTGTATGGGTGGGTGCACTTGCAGGAAAGCAGGTCTCGTGTGCTCAGGACTGTGCTCAACTTGCCGAGGCAAATCATGCCAGAACAAACACCGGCCATCGAACGCGAGGATTCCAACGATGAAGCCGATATCGAGGACCCGGCTCCCATCGATTGCCCCCCTCGATCAAGCAGTGAAGAACCTGGCCCCTCCAAAAAAATACGTTAATCCTGCCCCCCTTTCCATCGAACATTCACATGATTCAAATGTATTAATTATTACCCAACAATATATTGGGTATCGATGTACATTGGTTGTTTTATTCGGCTTCTTTAAAATATGTTGGTACAGCAAATTTAATCGTCAAGCTCCATTTCTAAAAAAAATTTCAACTGTAGTGTATTTTAAGGATAACAATATTGCTATTGGACGTAAGGGCTTGTTTATTCATCCATATTGAAGCTATATTGATACACTACAACTTGATTTCCCATAACTTTCCTCGTCGGATGAGTATTAGAGCCGATATTTTGCTCAGAAGAGGGCCAAAACTACAATTTTCAAATTTAAAAAAAAGGCCATTTTTGAGGTCCTGTATCTCGGGATGTATCAGACCTCGAGAAATAAAATTAGACTCAAAATGTAGGGCATTAATCTAGCTTCAAAAATATAAATGTGACTTCTTCTTTGGGAAGCCATCTTATAGGATTTTTGCGCTAAAAACCGAAATCAGTCGAATAATTCCGGGGTTTTTTGAGCACCACACTAGCGCAGGTTTTTCGGAGCTGCAAACTTGGTTTTATTCTATTGGGTAATAGCCTAACATCATGCAAAATTTAATGTGCGAAATTATGCGAACTAGGGTGTCTAAAATCAGCGGCCTACTTGGTTCACACACGATGAGAATCTGAAAACAAAATCTTCTGAAGTTGAGAATTTCCATTCTCCTTCAAATGAAAATTAATTTATGCACATAATATCATCTTGAATATTCAACAGAAAACAACAACTTTCCTGGCTATTTGCCACGTCCAATTATATTGAATTATATTTGTTGAATAACATTCAGAAGGAGAGCATGAAGAATAAAAATCGAATAAAATCAAAGCGAGGAGAGTAGTTGCTCTCTGTTGAATATTCAGAATGATATTATGTGCACATATATATATTTTCATCTGATGGAGAATGCAAATTCTCAACTTCAGAAGATTTTGTTTTCAAATTCTCATCGTGTGTGTTCAATAGATATAATTCAATGTTCATCGTGGCATATAGCTAGGAAAGTAGTTGATTTCTGTTGGATAATATAATATTTGATACAATTCCTCTTATTGAAAATCTGGGAATTTTTTTCAATATAGGGTGTATTTGATCTTGTGCCGAACCTCGGGGAGCAAAAGAAGAATTTGTGTACCAAAACCAGATATTTATGGAAGATATAATTATGTGAATCAATTACAAACATTATTGAAGAGATATTCAGTGTATGTTTCATTGTTTTGTTAACACTCTTAATAACTTCCAGAAATTATTGTAATATGAAAAATACAAGGTTCAATGAAAACCGCAATGAACGATAATGTATACGATGATGATGATTGAGTAACATTGATCACTTTCAGAATTGTGGAGATGACTTTGTATTCTCATTCCTGGGTGAATAACCACTTCACTCCATGATATTATTGATATACCACAGATTAAATCCGCAAAATTACATAGTTGCAAATATAATCTGATTGCAATCAATCAAATAATTCAATCTCAGTCAAAACATACATACATAAAAGTGAGATAAGGAATGAATATTTTGATATCGGAGAATTGAGATAGAAATCAGATTAATCTTTCAGTCGGCTAATACAGTATGTGCAATATGTCGTGAAAGAAACCACCATGCATTTTCGAATTTATCCAGCTGACAAAGCCCTATCCAGCTTCAGTAGTTCGAAGCTATTTCTCGATAATCATCACTATGGATAAGCTTTTCTGCAATAAAATGTTGACAAAATGATGATTTATTGTAACTACTGAATGAGATTTCATTAGATTCATGAATTGAATCCTATAAGACACTATCACATTGGCATTATCCAATCGTTGAAACACCTTATCACTCAAATACTGTATGTAGGCTAATCTCTATTCGTTTCTATATAATAGAAATATGTAATAGTATTACTTCGATATATGTGTAGTAGGACAAATCAGAGGATTTGCGCCAAAATGTCACTTCGTTTAAAAAATGTTTTTATCACGAAGCCTCAAAGAAAAATCCAATAGCTTGTCACTTGTCAGTGACATTTTGTTTGAAAAAATTTTTGAAGGGAAGAAATATAGACATATTGAGATAATATCGAATTTTTACTCATCTTTGGACGTTCCGATAACGAATCTGCTTCCGTTTCCAACATAAAAATGCAATTTCAAGAAAATACACATCGATAAATCAAAGCTAACTGAACATATCCTCACTGAAAATGGACAACATATGGTGGAGTGGAATAATATTAAAATTATAGGAGAGGAAGATAACAACCAAAAGAGAAAATTAAGGAATCCGCTTGCATTCTTCTGAACAGAAACAATAGCATTGCTTCCTGTTCAGTTGATATAGATAGAACATGGGATTCACTATCGAAAACTGAACATGAAAATCAACATTCAAGATCAATTGATAGAAACATCCTGTAACTCATTTGTATACTAACATAATCACTTATCCATATGCCATATGTCAAGCTATAAGAAAACCTTTTCGAAGAAAAATATTTTGCATTTTTATGTTGATAACTGGAGCAGATTCGTTCCCGAAACGTCCAAAGATGAGTAAGAATTCAATATTTTCTCGATATATCTATATTTCTTCTCTTCAAACATTTTTCCTGACAAAGTGTCACTGACGAGCTATTGGATTTTTCTTTTACTACACATTTATTAATATAATGCTCATATTCTATTTTATAGAAACGATGAGAGAAAATCCCGAGTAATCAAGTAAAATGAGTGTGCTACCCCAAAAGATTTATTGTGGCTCACACCGAGGCTCACACCAATTCATACTCCACCAAGTAGATCCAGCTTTTCAATGAAGCCGACTTGTTTACTTGGTGAGTGACCTTTCAGGTCCGAGGGCAAGCTTGATGAAAAACTGGAACCCTGCCAAACAGCGAAAACCAGATTCGGGAGTAGGAAAAAAAACACTTTTTTCCTCTTAGACATGCAATAATGAAGGTGGTTCATCAGGAAAGCTGCCTTATTTTGCCTCACCTCCTTTCTCAAATTTAGTTACAAAAATGTTGCCAAGTCCAGGATTCGAAAGAATTCGATAAAGTTTCATGCTCTTCCTGAGAATATATGTTCTGGAACGATTTGATTTTGAGATATACAGGGTGTATCTGAATAACACCGAACAAATTCAAGGGGTGTTTCCTCCTGACATTCTATCAGATAAAGTTCATATAAACAAAATAAACATGTGTCCTAACTTGCTCCGTTTTTGAGATACAGGATGTTGAAGTTGGAAGTATCAATTGTTTTTATTTACAACCCCCCTGTATAAGATTTCATGGTGCCAAAATTCAGTATGGATGGATACTGAGAAGTCCCCAAAATATCAAAATGATTCCCTTCGACGTATGTTCCTAGTTTCTTGAAATTTGAAATAGAAATTCTAGAAGAGACAGCAGTATGGAGAGTATCAGCTGCAAATCTGTGGAAAGGGGCAAGTGGTTACTCCTAACTGATCATTGACATGAAGTAAGAATAATGTTGATGCCAACATTGATACTTGTGGAACGCCAGAATTGATGGCAATGGTATCAGCTTACTTCCCAAACTATCATAATATTTTCATGCATGCATGATTCTAAGAAAGTGAAGATAATATGTAGAGTATGTCATTCCTACTGAGTGAATCCAGAGAAAGAGATTTTGGTTTAATTTCTGGAACCCAATGAGCTCATAGCCCAAAGATCACGGTTTGAACCAGCAGAAATGATAATCCTGTGTGTATCAGTTCGGTGTTCGGATTATTCAAAAAGTATCAATCGACTGTTAAAAATTATTCCTTGCACCTCCCTTGTTTTTATATGCATTCGATTGTCGTTTTAGTTTTATTTCCATGTATTATGTGTTATCTTCTTGGAAAACAAAACATATTTTTAAACTATACTGAGAATAATTGCCTCCTACTGATTGATGGTTGGTGTATTGTTATCACTAATCATTAAGTGATATCAGCCAGGTATATAACCATGAAGTGGTTCGAGAATTGGAATAATTCAGTAGTCACAGCTGATCATAGTCACCTGAATAATTGTGAAATGGCTGAACCAGGTACGCACAAGAGTGTGAGTGACCATGAGAAAGAAATCGTTGATAGTACAGAAGAAATCAAGATTTCAACAGAAATAACATTGGAAAAAAGTATTGAAGAATGCCAAACGGCCGTCGACAAATTTTTCAACAACCATTTCATGGAAGCAAAAGATCTCATGAGGCCGTATGCTAACGTGAGCATGTACCATTCTCTTGGACACTCCGTATTCCTCTTCCTTGAAGCTTTATTAACCTTTGATCCGGAAACCATAGAAACAGCGAATGCTGCTTTGAGGCAGTCCGTGTTAGTGAGTGGCAGCTGCAGGAGGAAGACTACTTTGACTGAATCTGTTGGAAACTTGGTGAAGGGAACCCAATATGATCTCTACACCGATAAAGAAGCCCATGCTGAGCTTTGCCATGCCGAAAGCATGCAATTGAGATCAGTCCTCACGTTTATTCAGGACGAATCATTGACCAGTCTTGTCAGAGCTGGCATCGATATAAGATCCTGTTTCAATTCGTATAAAGACTGCCAGCAGATTCTACTGAAAAAATCTTGGCAAAGTGAAGGTAATAAAATACATTTCGAAAGTGGCGTCAGAGTAGGCATAGGCGTTTTCAACTTGATGATCTCTTTATTTCCTGCCAAAATCATCAAGCTGTTAGAGTGGATAGGGTTTTCTGGAAACAGAGAGTATGGCTTGAAGGAACTGAACATCGGTTGTAAGGTAGAAGGAATCAGGCAAATTCTCGCCGTCATGGCAACACTGGGATACAACCTAATAGTATTATATGTATTGGGACATGCTGAAGGTGATACAAAGCAATGCAAAGAAATTTTACAGAAGCAATTAGCCAAGCATCCTGAAAGTGTTTGGTTCCTGTTTTTCCAAGGTAGATTAGAGCTTATTCTTGGTAACTTAGAAGCTAGTCAGGAATTTTATAAGAAATCTCTAGAATCGCAAAGTGTTTGGCCGCAGTTCCATCATATGTGCTATTGGGAGCTATTCTGGATACATTGCATTAAATTCGAGTGGAAGAATGCACTAATTTACGTCAATAAACTATGTGAACATAGTAATTGGTCTAAAAGTTGTTACTATTATCAAAAAGCTGCAGTCTTGATGATGATGCAGGATGAACTGAACAGTTCTGAATCAGAAGAGATCGATAAACTTCTGAAAGATGTGGCCAGATACAAACAGAAAATTGGAGGACAATCATTGCCAATGGAACAGTTTTCTATCAAGAGGGCTGAGCGATATTTCAATCAAGACAAATCATTGATGCTTCCAATTTTGGAACTGATGTTAGTGTGGAATCTATTCAAAGTATTGAAGAAGCCGAATATTGCCAACAATTTTTTGAAGGTGATTGAAAAGTCTATTGCATTTCTGAAGTCTAGCTCAAAGCATTCAACTTATGATAATGACAACAAAGCTATTCTTTTGCTCATGCGAGGTACTTGTTTGACGTATATGGGAAGCCCTTTACAAGGAATGGAATGCTTGGAAGAAGTCATATCTATGAAGGAACATCTGGTCGAAGATCATTATGTTATCCCATATGCTATTTTTGAGCTTGCACTAATTGACTGGAAGAATGGGAAGAAAGAGAAGGCTATTTCAGCACTTGAAGACGTGAAGAAGAATTACACGGGATATTTTCTGGAGGCCAGACTACATTTTCGAATACAATCAGCGCTCACTGAATTCAAGAAATGAAAAGTTTCTTTACTGTCATTATATGAAATATTATGTTGTTTGTGGATGATTCAACTAATATTACGAACTCTATAATTTTCGTTTTCATTTTATTGAATTTTCCACATGATAGGAAAATTACATACGCACCGAGGTATGTGATAGTTTTTAAATAAAAATGTGAACTTATATATTCCATTATATTATATGAATATTTGTTTTTCTACTCCCTTATTATCAATATGCAAATAAAATATCTGCTACCGATTTCTTGATATTGTTTATTCCAACACGGATTTTTATTATGATTTTTACCAATGAAGACACGTAGGTCTCCTCATGATGAGATATAGAATCACGAATTTAGGTAATCTGTTTACGCGTTAAATGAATATGGGAAAAATTTATGGACTGAAGATGTTGGAATATCCCTAATAGCACACAACGTCATGGGGACGTCCCTATTTGGTACAATTCACGCCCGACTGTCCCGAACCAAGAATAAGTGTCCTTGGGACGTCCCATCCCGTACATCTCATGCGATGTCCGAGCAAGGACGTCCACGGAATGTCCCAGATGGTACATCATTTCAAATATCCTAGGAATAGCTCCCTTAGACGTCCCACGTGGTACATATTGTAGAATGTCCATGCATGGACGTCCTTGGCAGCGGATGTCCCGAGTAGTACACATTCTGGCATGACTTCAGATCTTATATAATGCCCCTTCTAGACAACCATGGGATATTCCTGATGGTACATTCCTCCAAATATCTCTGCACAGACGCCCTTAATATTTCCAGGATCGAATAACAATCGAAATGTCCCTTAGGGATATCCGTCGGATGTCCCAATTGGTACATGAACTGTACTCTTTCAATGTCCTAGGAATATCGTCCTATGGACGTCCCAGTCGGTACTTTCAATATGTTGCCCCTGCGAGGACGTTAACTTACACCTCGCCGATGAATAGTTGCTCGTAGGCTATAAGTACTCCTCGTTAATGTCCTTCACGTAAGTCCATTGGACATACTTGGGACACTTTTTGGGGACCTTCTACGGACCATCAACTCAACTGGATGTCCTAATCAGTTATGCAAGATCTGGTCCTAGAGGGACCCAGAAAAATTCAAATTCAAGAATAATTCGTTCGTCCCTGGGACATCCAATGGACATCCAATTGATATCCCTCAGCGTTGCTGATAGGTTGTCCTATGGATGTCCTAAGGATGTCCTCTGTAGTGCTTGATGAGGAATACTGTAGGATTTAGGTCCCAGGGACATCCCTCAGGGACGTCCCTAGTTGGTCCTCAAGTGGGACATTTGTGCGTCCCACAGACGTCCAATGGACGTTTACGGTACCAAATTCGAACGTCCTATGGACGTCCTGAATGTCCCGACAGGACGTCCTAAGGATATCCATGGGACATAAGTGTGTTATTAGGGATGTTGAAATATAAATAGTAAGAAATGAGTTCAGTTTATAACATTCATTGGTCGTAGAAAAAATAGTGTTTGCAACGATGTAATGGCTATTATAATACATTCGCACACTCTTTATGACACTCGCCTTCGGCTCCTATGATAATCTACCTCGTGCTCGTGTATTAGGTGATATCTATCATCACATGAGTGTTACATACAATACTATCAGATGATTCGTCCAAAATGTCACTATACGTTTGAAAAATGTTTCTAACAGGAAGCTTAAAAAAAATCTAATGGTTTATCTGTGACAATTCGTTTTGGCAAATGTTTGAAGGGAAGGAAGGAAAATTAATATAGATAGGTATATTGGGAAGTATCGAATATCCACTTATCTTTGGACGTGAACGAATCTGCTCCAATTTTCAACAAGCTGTCTTTTTATAGTATGACATTTCTCACTGACAGACTGATGTTGGCATAAGAATAAGTGATGTTAGCATAGACATGAGTAACTTCATCATGAATCTACCATTTTCATGTTCAGTCTGTCACTGAGAAGTGTCATACTATGAAAAGACAACTTGCAGAGAATAATATTTTACATTTTCATGTTGAAAACGGGAGCGGTTTCCCGAAACGTCCAAAGATTCGATATTTTTCAATATATCTATATATATATCGATATTTCCTTCCTTCAAACATTTTTCAAAACAAATTGTCTCTGACAAACGATTGGATTTTTCTTTTAGGCTCTCTGATAGAAACATTTTTTAAACGCAGTGACATGCATCATCTGATCGTTCCTACTATATACACGTATAATAAAATAATACTCATATTTCATAGGAACAAGTGAGAAAATCCCAAATAATCAAGTGAAATGAATATACTATCTCCTCGATTAACCTACAGACAGTATCTTAATTATGCTATATTCAATATATCTCTATGAAGAACCAATACCTGATGCATAATTTTCTAAAGGAATGTGAATCGATTTGGTATCTAGGAACTTGTTGAATAATATAAGATGAATCACTATCGGTATAACGTGTACCTGATAGTTATTAATAATATCGATATTCCAGTATGTATAGGTATACCCACGCTTTTGATGGAATATCCAGATCGATGCCTAAGTATGTTGATATATTGATGTATTGATAGTTATAATGATAAATCTTCCCCAAATAAAACATCGCTATATTTCTATTTTTTTTTCAAGCCTGGTTACCTATTTTATAATCTGAAATAATATTCTTTACATCTCGTACACTCTGTATACCAATCATAAATCATTTTTTTCGGATCAAGTTTCAAGTTGGAATGTACCTGTACGTTTTTCTTCCAACCTGTCTTTGTCAAATTCCCGAATAATCCCGCTACGAAAGCAAATATATCTAAGTTTCCCCTTTCTGTAACTAGACATAGCGACATAGCTGACCCTACTCTGAAGACGTCGCACCAGCAATTCCTTTGTTATCTCCAACGAACGTGTGACATCAGAATATCCGTCTATCTACCCCAATATGACTGGCACCCTCACATTCTAGCCGTTCCACGTAACTGTAACCACCCTCTATATGCTTTCTGTTTGATCCGAGACATTTCCTGAGATACACCAGCACAGCTAAAGGGCGGTTGGGAAACTGTTCGGAAAAGCATGATGGGGATATCGAAAACTCCTCTCGACGACTGTAGTTGATACCTAAAGGCATACAGCCTGGCTCAAAGACTTGCATATTATTTATTGCTTTCCTACACCAAACATTGTATATATACCGTTTGATATCGCTGGGACCTGCACTTTCTTGGGGGTGTTTTGTTGGAAATGTTAACGAGGGGCGGTGGGGTGAGAAGGGGGGGCTTTGAAAGCTTGGTTGGGGAATGGGTGTAGATAATAAATCATTATTATGCGTGACTGAGTTTATTATTGATATTCGAAAGAGAAATTAAACTATTAGATGAATATTAGGAAATGAGTATATGTAAGTAAATCTTATACCAGTATCAGATTGTACACACTATGGTAACTTTCGAATCTTCACGTGAATACATGCAGAAAAAAGAATGGTACAAACTACTAGAATCACTGTATACCTTACCACAAAAAACTTTAAGAATATAGGGACAAACTTTCGCCGCAGTAAAATATACTCCATGAATACTTTGAATCAACATAATTGTCTGTCATTACGGATCGTGGTAGAACTAAATGCGAACAGTTGAAAACAACCAACAAAGCATAGTGGTAATATTTACCACGAATATTCTCAGAGAAACACCCCAGAGGGAGAATTTGTTACTGTGACCAGTTAGTAAATCTTATTTTGTGATTTTCACCGATCCAGCCCCAGTAGCACTGAATATCGGCTGCAAATCGGCTCTGCATTGGCTCAATATTTGAATATCGTAAATCGGTTGGATGATATTGTAACGATATTGAATAAATGAGCTGGACGGATCAATATGAATACAATGTTGATAGGCTTACATTTTTCAGGATCTTGAGAATCCTACATTGTATCGATATTCATAATGACATATGTGATGAAATCTATATTCCTCCTATATCCTGATGATTTATGTCTCGATATTGATAAATCTTCATGATAGATATATTGATTGCCTGATATCAGTTCATATTACAACTGGATATGTAACCTATATCGATAGAATGTATCTTGGAGGATATTGCAATAAAACATCAGGTTCAATATCGTCACGTGGACTTCTTGATTTCATATATGTATTCCATATCGAATACAAAACTGTTATTCAATGATGACATCCCAATATTCCACCAATATTGTTTGTGTGGATATTGGTAAATTATATATATACAATAAAGAGTTGTATTTTTATGACACCATCATCTGTTTGATAATGAAGCAATATTGGGAAATGGAGATGACCTCGATATTGCAAAGAATCATCACGTTGGATATCGTGAGGTCGATCAGTTTATTCCATATATGTGTACCATATCAGAAACTCTATATGGATTCAATGATCAAATCCCAATATCCCAGCGATATTGTTCTAGTGGATTTCATCAGGATGAGGTTGCAGCAATATTGAGAAATGCAGATGATTTAGATATTGCGAAATATCATTATGTTCAATATTGTGAAACCGACTTCCTGATTCCATATATTTGTGCCATAACCAAATCCCAATATTTATTCGATGCTGTGATCACAATGTGAAAGCAATAATATCATCCATAAATAGGAATGAAGATAATTCGATATTGGAAATAACTATTAGTATCAATATCGTGAGGTTCACTTTTTGTTCCCATTCATGTTAACCATATCAAAAACCCAAGGTCAATTCAATGATGAAATCTCAATTTTTGAGCAATATTACCTATGCATATTTTAGTAAACTTTATGTATACAATAATGTGTTCTAATCTCTTGCAACTATCATCAAGATGATGAAAGAGCAATATTGTTAAATGGGTATGATCATCATATTGCAAATAATCATTGTGTTCAATATTGTGAATCCAACTTCCCGATTCTATATATTTGTGCCATAATCAGATCCCAATACTATTTCGATGTTGCCATCACAATGTGCAAGCAATATTATCCATCTTGAGTTCAGTCAGTTATATTGATATAATATTGAGGTGTAATCACTTGATACTATCAACAGGA